ATTCCAAAAATTTTCTGCTTATTTTAACAAAATAATTGATTTTGGAAAAAAAAATTTTTGTTTCAACAATTTTTTTAAATTTTTTTTTTCCAAAATTTTTTTTTTTTTGCATATCAAAAATAATTCAGATTTTTATTTTAATTCTGTTCTAATATACTTTAAACAAATAATTTCAACTTTCCAATTTAGTTTATATAATTTTTATAAATATTCGACAATGTTACAATATTTATAAAATCTATTTTAAAACATTTAATATTCTTCGATCATTTCGTTACGGTACGGCAAGTTCCAGCAATTTGCCTTAAGGCACGATGCCATACACCCCACTAGTTAGACATTTTGTCAACAACTGACAAAGTTTTTTATGAACGCTCTATAAACTGTTTTTCATTATAAAAGAATTTATTATAATAATGATTTTAATTGTCTTATTGTAGTCATATAGTCATTTATGTAATTCTTTAATAAATTATTAGTTTTTTTGTTAAAATGCCAATCAACCGTGACGAATAGTTATCTGTGGAAAAATAAAAGAATAAATGAATAGATGAAAAAAAGTGTATTGTAATTAAATATATAGAATTTTTAATTAATTAAAATTGCAGTTAGTTATCAAAAGAAAGTTTTGGTGATTAGATTAATTGCTACAGATAAAATTTGCCATGTGTTTATAAAGTTTTGTTAAATATTTTTTTTAATTTGCAATTCTCCAATGTGAATTTTGAGTTTGTAATTATGAAACTTGAGATTCTGCAGTTTGCGATTCTGCAACTTTTGTCTGTGCAACTTTCGACTCCGCAACTTCTGTCTGTGCAATTTCCGACTCCGCAACTTGTGTTCGTGCAACTTCTGTCTGTGGAACTTCTGTTTGTGCAACTTCTGTCTGTGGAACTTCTGCCTGTGCAACTTTTGACACCGCAACATCTGTCTGTGGAACTTCTGTTGGTGCAACTTCTGTCTGTGGAACTTCTGTCTGTCGAACTTCTGTCTGTCGAACTTCTGTCTGTGCAACTTCTGTCTGTGCAACTCCTGTCTGTGCAACTCCTGTCTGTGCAACTCCTGCCTGTGCAACTCCTGCCTGTGCAATTTTTGACAACGCAATCTTTGTCTGTGCAACTTTCGTCTCTGCATATTCTGTCTCTGCATATTCTGTCTCTGCAACTTCTGTCTCTGCAACTTCTGTCTCTGCAACTTCTGTCTCTGCAACTTCTGTCTCTGCAACTTCTGTCTCTGCAACTTCTGTCTCTGCAACTTCTGTCTCTGCAACTTCTGTCTCTGCAACTTCTGTCTCTGCAACTTCTGCCTGTGCAACTTTTGACTCTGCATATTCTGTTTCTGCATATTCTATCTCTGCAACTTCTGTCTCTGCAACTTCTGTCTCTGCAACTTCTGTCTCTGCAACTTCTGTCTCTGCAACTTCTGTCTCTGCAACTTCTGTCTCTGCAACTTCTGTCTCTGCAACTTCTGTTTCTGCAACTTCTGTCCTTGAAACTTGCGATGTTGAAGTTTGCAATTCTGCAACTTTAGACTCAGCAACTTTCAAATCTTCAACATGTGATGTTGAAGTTTGTGATTCTTCAATATGTGATGTTGGAGTTTGTAATTCTGCAACTTTTGTCACTGAAACGTGTCTCTCTGCAATATGTGATGTTGGAGCTTGCGATTCTGCAAAGCGTGATGTTGAAACTTGTGCCTCTGCAACGTGTGATGTTGGGGCTTGTGATTCTGCAACGTGTATTTCTGCAATATTTAATGTGAGAAATTGCGATTCTGCAACTTGTGTCTCTGCGACGTGTATCTCTGCAATGCATAGTGTTGAAGTTTTTGTTTCTGCAACATGTGATGTTGAAACTTGTGATTTTGCAACGAATCCTTCTGCAACTTCTGTTTCTGCAATTTGTATTTCTTCAACACGTGATGTTGAGGCTTGTAAATCGTTTTAGAGTTTGCAAATCTGCTGCAACTGCTACCCGAACAAATTTATTACTTGGCTTAAAATTTTTTATAATTATTTTGGCTTTTTCTTGCATTATTAATTTTTTGGCTGTATAAACCACCAACTCGCAAACAAAGCAACAAAATGCAACAAGCAAACCCAGAATCCAACCATAAAATAAAATCTTCAAATGTTCTAAAGAAATCACTACCGATGGATTAGTTTTTATAATAGTATCGCCAATGTTTTTAATCTCGTCTTGATAAAACGAATGATCAATTATTTTATCAACAATTCCAAATTCGAACATCTTCATCAGGACGTCATTGAATCTTTCTTTGTAAGGAGAGTTTTTTAAAATAACAGACGATGTTGGGTATCCAAAAGCATCATTGATTATATGTGTCATTGTTTTGTTGCTATCATGCATTCTAACAAATTCATCTACAAATGCAGATTTCAGTACAACTGCACCTTCTCTCGTAACATATAGAAGGTTGAACATTGATTCTGGATCTGTGTATAAAAAACGATTGTGGGTGTACTTAAATTCTTTGCCTAAATCATGTGTGAACATTATGCCAGGGTCTGCAAATATTGTCATATTGGAAGCAATTAGTTCTTGAATGTTTTTGATATCCAAGGATTTTGGTGGAGTCATCAACTTGTTCACAAGTTTTCCTTGGATGAAGTTGCTATATACCACACTGCTTAGTGCTAAAGTTAAGAATAGTATACGTTCAAGACGTATTTTTGGTGCGTTTTGTGATACCGTCAAAGCAATTCCATATGCTGTAACAATGATATCCATAAATCGTTTGTTAGTAGTTTTTGCAAACTTGGTACGAGAACGCATCAGAAAATACCAAATCAACACCAAAACTAATATCGTCGGTATAATAGTCAACCAAAATGATTTATCTTCAGAACTCATGTAAAAATAATCCGTCACATATCCAATTTGTGGTGTCAATACACCTAAAAATTTTGTGTGAATTGGATATAAAGCTGAGATTCTGGCGGTTTGTCCGCAAACGTTTAAGTCCTTTAAATTTGCTGAAATATCTGCACTTTTATAATCAACTCTTGAAACATGGTCACACACATGGATAGGGTAGTTTTTATGATAACGTACAAGAACTTGCTTGTAGTTCATGACTTTTTGTAAAGTTTGGGCGATTGTTGGGTCGATTCCAGAAAAACCTGAGAAAAAATTAAATAGTTAGTATGATGCAGTGTCTACCTTTTATATATATTTAATTACCTAATATATATTTCGAATCATTAGTAATAGGATAAGAATATCCAAATTCACGCGCCATATAAACTCTGACAGGATACCCGTTCATATTCAAAATCCTTTTCTTATAAACATCCATAATTTTTTTAATATCCAAACTTGGCGTGAGAGAAAATTCATATACGTATCCTTTTGCTGGTATATTTTCAAAAGGATTATAAAATGAAAGAACGAATTTGTTCTCGTTCTTGAAAATTATGAGAACGTTTAAAAGTTTATATAGTTTCCAGATGTATTTTAGAAAATTGGCTGTTTGCGTTTGATTTGAATTTGTTGTAATAGATATTATATTGCCGTTTGTATTGTTGTATATTTTTTTGAGAATTTTTTTTGCCTGCCTCAAGGTTTGTGATATTGTTATTGTTAGTCCATTTGTTGATAGTGAACTAAAACTTGATAAATAAAATAAATGAAATAAATCGTTATGTGGAACAGACAAGAACTAGTATGTATAAACTGGTATATAAATCTATAAACTTACTTTCTGGAAGTAGAAATTTGAAGAGGTACAAAACTTCTGTGAACAATATTTTCTAATATCGTCTCAGCTTCTGGTTTCATGTATTTAGAAAAAATAGTCATTGTACGCATATCCTTGAAAATATAAAAAAAGCGATTTTAGCCCAGAAATTGCAAATAATGAAATACATCTATACTTACGTTAAAAAAATCCAAAATAAATTTACCAGGCACAACACTATCATCATCATGAATACCTAAGTTTCCAAATTTTTCATCCGAGCATTTGATTTTAATAAACATGAGTGCAAGTAATAGCAAATTAATATTTCTAGACACCATTTTGTCAGCAACTGACTTCAACAATTTAACTACAAGTATTTTTTATGAAAGCTCTATTAAATGTTTTTCATTATGGATTTAAATATAGTACAATAGTATGATAATAATGAGTGTAATTGGCTTATTGTTTGTATACTCCTTTATATGATTCACTAACAAAATAAACACTAACAATTAATTAGTTTTTTTGTTGTTAATTTCTATTAAAATTTATTGATCAAACGTAACAAAAAATTATTTGTGAAAAAATAAAATAATAGATGGAATAATTGTATTCTAATAAAATATATAGGATTTTCATTTTATTAAAACTTACAATTATAAAAGCCTTAGTGATTACAATTAATAAACTAAAAATACCAATAATATCTGTCATTCTTAAAATCTAGCGAAATATTTGTTTAATTTGCAATTTTTACAAATTGTGATCGATTCTGCAACATGTGATCGATTCTGAAACTTCGGATTGATTTTGCAAAATATGATCCTGCTGTGATTTAAAAACATGTGATTCTGGAGCATATGTCTTGCTGCAACTTGTGGTTCTGCAACTTAGAATTTTAAAACTGGCGATTTTCATATCTGTGATTTTCAAACTTGCGTTATTTCCATACTTGAGATTTTCATACTTTCGATTTTCAAACATGCGATTTTTAAACTTGCGATTCTGCAACTTGTGATTCTGCAACTTGTGATTTTGTAACACGTGATTTCGAAGTTTGTGAATCTGCTGTAATTGCTACTCGAACAAATTTATTACTTTTGGTGCTCGAGTTACTGTAACTTTTGTTATGTAGCTTTAGGTTTCGAATGTTTGCAAAATTTATTATTCCAAACAAATCATTTGCGATATTTGTGATTTGGTATTGAAGTTTTGTGATTTTGCAACTTGTGATTGTGCAACTTGTGATTTTGCAACTTGTGATTGTGCAACTTGTGATTGTGCTAATTGTGATTTTGCTAATTGTGTTTCTGCAACTTGTCATTATGCAACTTGCGACTTTGCAATTTGTGCTTCTGCAACTTGTGCTTCTGCAACTTGTGATTTTGCAACTTGTCATTATGCAACTTGTCATTATGCAACTTGTCATTATGCAACTTGTCATTATGCAACTTGTCATTAGGCAACTTGCGATTTTGCAACTTGTGCTTCTGCAACCTGTGATTTTGCAACTTGTGATTCTGCAACTTGTCTTTAGGCAACTTGCGATTTTGCAATTTGCGATTTTGCAACTTGCGATTTTGCAATTTGCGATTTTGCAACTTGTGCTTCTGCAACTTGTGCTTCTGCAACTTGTGCTTCTGCAACTTGTGCTTATGCAACCTGTAATTTTGCAACTTGTCATTAGGCAACTTGCGATTTTGCAACTTGTGCTTCTGCAACCTGTGATTCTGCAACCTGTGATTCTGCAACTTATGATTCTGCAACTTGTCATTATGCAACTTGTCATTAGGCAACTTGTCATTAGGCAACTTGTCATTAGGTAACTTGCGATTTTGCAACCTGTGATTTTGCAACTTGTGCTTCTGCAACTTGTGCTTCTGCAACTTGTGCTTCTGCAACTTGTGCTTAAGCAACCTGTGATTTTGCAACTTGTCATTAGGCAACTTGCGATTTTGCAACTTGCGATTTTGCAACTTGTGCTTTTGCAACCTGTGATTCTGCAACTTATGATTCTGCAACTTGTCATTATGCGACTTGTCATTAGGCAATTTGCGATTTTGCAACTTGTGCTTCTGCAACCTGTGATTTTGCAACTTGTGATTCTGCAACTTGTCTTTAGGCAACTTGCGGTTTTGCAGCTTGTGATCGATTCTGCAACTTGTGATCGATTCCGCAACTTGTGATCGATTCTGCAACTTGTGATCGATTCTGCAACTTGTGATCGATTCTGCAACTTGTGATCGATTCTGCAACTTATGATGTATTCTGCAACTTGTTATCGATTCTGCAACTTGTGATCGATTCTGCAACTTGTGATCGATTCTGCAACTTGTGATCGATTCTGCAACTTGTGATCGATTCTGCAACTTGTGATCGATTCTGCAACTTGTGATCGATTCTGCAACTTGTTCTTGATTCTGCAACTTGTGATTACTTGTGATCGATTATGCAACTTGTGATTAATTCTGCATCTTTAAATTGATTTTGCAAAATATGATCCTGCGGTGATTTAAAAGCGTGTGATTCTGGAGCATGTGTTTTTCTGCAACTTGCGGTTTTGCAACTTACGGTTTCCAAACTGGTGATTTCCATATTTATGGTTTTCAAACTTGTGATTTCATTACTTGTGATTTCTTATACATGAGATTATCATACATGAGATTATCATACTTGAGAAATTCGGACTTGTGATTTTCATATTTGTACTAAAATGGTTATTGTACGTATATTCTTAAAAATATAATATAAATACATAGCTTATAATTAAAAATTAAAGCAGGAGTTATTTTAGTCCAGAAATTGCAAATAATGAAATACATTTATACTTACGTTAAAAAATTCCAGAATAAATTTACCAGGCATTACACTTTTATCATCATCAGTACTCAAATTCATAAATTTATTATCTGAGCATTTGATTTTGACAAACATGAGTGCAATTATTAACAAATAAATATTTTCAAATGGCATTTTTTCAACAACTGACTTCAACAATTTAACCAACAGTATTTCTTATAAAAGTTCTATAAATTGTTTTTCATTATATAAAGTACTACAGCAAGAATAGTATAATACAAACAATTTTAGTTGTAGTCATTTGTTTGTAGGTGTAGTCTTTTATATAATTCATTCATAATTTATCTGTTTTTTTTTGTTAATTTCAACCGTGACGAAAAGCCATCGGTGAAAAAATAAAATAAAATATAAAAGTAGTATACATTTGATAGTATATATAGATGATGTATAATGTATACATCAATACATTATAACAATACAATAATTTTTATTTCTTTAATTAAATTTTTAGCTAAAAACATTCGAGTACTTACATTGATTACCACAAATTTTAACCATGGCTTTTAAAAATTTTGCAAATTGTTCTTATTAACTTCCCGTAGGGTAAGTTATTGTAATGGGCCAAAAATCGAAATTGAAAATGTTTACATTTCTCGACGTTTTGAAGGTTTCTGAACATTTTGGCATACCTTAGAAAAAATGTATGTGTGTGTGTGTTTATGTATGTATGGATACAAATTTCCAGTCACGTTTTTGGGCGCACAGATAAACCGATTTGAATGGTTAAAAAAACATTCGATTCTTATTGATAGGGAGATGAGGTGATTAGTTTTTGGCAAAGGTAGGTCCAGCAATTACGGAGATAAAGAGCAAAGAGTGCAGAAAATAGAAATCGAGTTTTTAAGAGAACGGAGCATCCGATTTGAATGATCTAAAAAACATTCAATTAATAATTATTGGGAAGTGGTTATTAGTTTTTGGCAAAGGTAGGCCTAGCCATTTCGAAGATACACAGCTAAATGTTAAAAAATAGCAGTTTTTGAGAAAACTAAGCGTCCGATTTAAATGATTCAAAGAACTTTCTGCTTGTTTTAACAAAATAATTGATTTTGGAAAAAAAAAATTGTTTCAAAATAATTTTTTTATCAATTTTTTTTTTAAATTTTTTTTTGTATACCGAAAATAAATCAGATTTTATTTTTAATTCTGACTATAGTTCTAATATACTTTAAACAAATAATTTCAACTTTGCAATTCAGTTTATATAATTCTTATCAATATTAGACAATGTTACAATATTTATTTGTAATAATCTATTTGAAAACATTCAGTATTCCTCGAACATTCCGTTACGGTACGGGAAGTTCCAGCAACTTGCCTTAAGGTACGATGCCATACACTCCACTAGTTTAATTTTTTTTTTGCCAGAACGCGTTCCGGACCAAAAATAATTTGCCGGAACGACGTTCCGGCGCGTTCCGGCTCGACAACACCACTGGTTGTATGTAGTACTAATTGTTACTATTTTTCTTACTACTAAATAGCACTAATTGTTATGCTATATATAGCACTAATAAATAGTACATACAGATTAATTGACCACAATTAAAATTAAAAAAATTAAGCAATAATTCTTTGTAATTTAAAATTTAAAAATTTAACTTTTTTATTCAAATTTAAGCGTTAAATTAAAATAATTATAATTATATATTGAATATCTAATATAAATTTAAGTTGAATTTATAGAAGTTAGATATAAATTTTTGTTGATACTAAATTCAAAATCTATCTATTGCTTTATATGCTTATAGGTAAACACAGGTTGATAGTTGATGGAATTATTCATTTATTTGTTCATTCATTTTACTTTTACTACATTTGATATGGCCAAATATTTGTGATCATTTTCGATACCGATTCCGGTTTTCATACCCGTCCTCAATATCAAGAACAGATTGACTGATTGTTAAACGATTGGTTGCCATAGTAGTAGTTGTCATACTAATGATTGGTTACAGAGAATGGAGGTTGTTAGCCGAAATTTGACTGTTCTTTCTTTCAGTAGCTCTTCGCTGGTGATTTAGCATCAAAACACTTAGTCAATAGTGAGTGAGCAGTAAAAGAGCTCGTGGTTGAAGAGTTAGTAAGCGTTAGTAAGCGTTAGTAAGCGTTAGTAAGCGTTAGTAAGCGTTAGTAAGTAAGTAAGAGTTAGTACGCGCTGCTGGAGAGATAGTAGTCGTATGGCTCGTCGCTGGAGAGTTAGTACTCGTGTAGCTCGCCGCTGGAGAGTTAGTAAGCATCGTTGAAGAGTTAGTAAGCGTTAGTAAGTAAGTAAGAGTTAGTAAGCGTTATTAAGCGTTAGAAGTAAGTAAGAGTTAGTAAGCGTTAGTAAGCGTTAGTAAGTAAGTAAGAGTTAGTAAGCGTTAGTAAGCGTTAGTAAGTAAGTAAGAGTTAGTAAGCGCCGCTGGAGAGTTAGTAGTCGTGTAGCTCGCCGCGGGAGAGTTAGCAAACGTATAGCTTGCAGCTGGAGAGTTGGTAAGCGTGTAGCTCGCCGTTGGAGAGTTAGCAAACGTATAGCTCGCCGCTGGAGAGTTAGTGAGCGTGTAGCTCGTCGCTGGAGAGTTAGTAGTCGGGTAGCACATCGATGGAGAGTTAATAGTTGAGTAGCTCGTCGCTGGAGAGTTTGTAGTTGAGTAGCACATGTCTATTGTGAGTTAGCATTAATTATATTGTTCGTTGCTGGAATATTTTTAATAAAAGTTTACCTAATTACGCGAATCATAATTCGGTTTTCTCCGACCAGTAAGGTGTAATTTTCACTCCACTTTACTCCCAGTACAGTGATATTGACTCGCTGCCATGTTCCTTAATGCGATAGAATGTTCTGTAGGACTTCTATCGGGATCGCCAATTACGTAGGTAAACACAAGTTGATAAGTTATTTGTATATTTACACTACATTTGTTATTCGCAAAGTGGCTTGAATGGCAAAATACGAGTGATCATTTTCGATACCGATTCTGGGTTTTATACCCGCCGTCAGTATCGTGGACATATTTGATTGGTTGTTATACCATTGATTGCCATACCAGTGGTTGCCATACTAATGGTTGCTATATACTTATTATAAATTATTTAATCTATGTTTTAAAAAATGCTTTTAGAAATAAGAAAAAATAATTCGTAAATTAGATTTAAAGCAAAATTTACAAAAATATCCATTGCTGTGAATAAATAACTGATAAAAAATCAATTTCATATTTGATCTTTAAACTTAATAATATAACTTTGCAATTGATATGGTTAATAGTTAGTAATCAAGTTCATGCTTTATATTTGCTCAAAACGTCCAGTGAACAATTGTAATTGAATTGAATTAATAAATTTGAATAGTTTATACATATTTAACAGCATCTACCTAAAAATGCCCATTTGAGACATTAAAGGCTGCAAGAGAAGGTATACCGAATACTTTTAACATGGTGTTGTGTAAATTTTGTATGCTTTATAATAAAGATATTTCAGAAATTTGCGTTGAACTGTCTCTATCGCATCGGAGTTGTTGATCTGATGAGGATACCAAATGATCGATCCATTTTCTAACTTGGAACGTACATTTGCAAAAAAGTGAATTATTTGAATTCAATTCTTTACAGCTTCTCAGTATCATCCCTAAATTTTATGATAACTGTAACTAACGCTCTTCAAATTCTTTGTATAAACACGCAATGTTCAAAATTGTTTTAGGGAATTATAAACATATAGAAAAATAAGATCAATAAAAATATGTATCAATAAAATCTTTTATCGAATAAAATGTTGACGAGCCGTTTTGCAAAGCTCTCTGTGTGGTTGGCGATTTGATTCTCATAGAGTGATGTGGCGCCCTGTCGAGACGCAGAACGCGGCACTGACAAGAGACGGGAGACGCGTCAATCGCGCGGATATTACGCCGTCGGCGGTGTAATGAGTATTGTAATGTGTGATTTAGCGTCATGTGCGCGAGGAGTTGTTAAAATTCAATTAACGCGCCGGACTCCCGGTAAAAGGCGCATAAATCATATGGAATCGTTTGAGTTTGATTTAAAACCGCTACGCCCATACGTGGAGTTTAGTGCGGACGGCTTAGCGGCGCTGCGGCCACTCGCTTTGGAAACCACACAATGATTTTGAGAATGCGAAGGTACATGATTTCCTTCTGCTGCAGGAAAAAATCTTCGACAAAACTTCAATTTACAATATACCTTAATATAATTTTTAAGCCTACATAATTTAAATGTTTTATAAAATATGTTATTTTTACGTAAATTAGATTCAAACTTTTTTTAATGTAACCTCTATAAAAGCTTAAGGTGAGGTGGAAAGAACCATTTGAGCCTTTGCCCTGGCAAAGGTGTAAACAATAAAAAATAGTAAACTAGTGGTGTATGGCATCGTGCCTTAAGGCAAATTGCTGGAACTCCCGTACCGTAATTCGAGAAATTTTAAACGTTTTCAAATATATTATTACAAATACTGTAACTTTCATTATTTTTGCATGTTGTATTTTTCATGTTGTTATATCTGAGCAAATCAAATGTAAATCAAAAATCAATTTATCTCCAGAATATTAACAATCGTCATTTCATTTCGAATTCAATTTCTAAAAAATAGTTGGCTTTACACAAAATTGAAAAAGTGCTCCCGTATAGTTACGGTCTCCTGTCACCGTATAGTGACGTATTTGCAAATAATTCTGTGCGACATTTTCACTTATACTGTGCTTAGCTTGGCGGCGTTTTCACATTTTTCAACAG